TCGTCTGGTCTCAACTGTAGCATTCTAACTTGTTTTTTCTGGTATCTTGGCATGCATTCTCAATGCACATTCCGCCAAATATTTTTGTTCACATCATGTGACAGCTTGGCAGATACACACACAGGCACAACTTATGTGAGCTGCAATCAAAATAAAGCAAAAGTCAAGTTGGCAACGCGTAGGTGGCTTTATTTGCTGTCTGCCTATAAGAACAGGCAACCATTCTCTCTCTGTGTCTGTCTTATCAGTCGTATTGGGCTGTGAGCAATGCAAACAGCGCGACAAATAAGCCGCCGACAATTGAATTTCTGACCCGCCGACTTTTGAGTGTGGGTGACTCAGTCGCTGACGTCGACAGCATATCAGCAAAAAAAAAAATATTGTCTTGTATTTTATTTTGTTTTGATTTTTGTTTTTTTTTTTTTTTTTTTTGAAATACCAAAAGTCTGAGCGGTTCTTGTTGCTGTTCTTTTGGCAATGAGCAATTCATGTATTCATTTACGATTAATGCGAATTTCGAGCTGTCACATTTTGGTAGCTTAAGAATTATGAATGAAATTTCACCTCAGCACGCCAAATGAAACACGTTCTTAAGTTTTTTTGTGTTTGCTCATTTATTGAATGTCAACTTATGGTCGCATCATTGCCCAATGACACGAGCTGTAACTAAGTGCTGGAGAGGCAGAGGCAGAGGCAGAGACAGCGAGGGGCAGAGTGAGTGATGAAGCTAGAAATGTTGCTTACTGAAAGTGACATTAGCATAAAGAAGAAGTGGAAGAAGAAGAAGAGGGAACTGAAAGTAGGTAGTAGTAAAAGCTTGCGGCAATTAATGCTCAATGACATTAGCTGAAAGTGAAGCTGAGCATAATTAAGCACATGACAGCTGACACTTGTTGACATCTGCTGAAAGCGATATTAGAATGGAAACTGTGCGAGAGTTGAGCACAAGTTGAAGCTGACATTAATAACTCAAGAATTGTGTGTTGGCAAAGTCAATCGAATACGTTTAACAACACTGGCTGACAAGTAAAAGCGACAGAGTGAAGTGTGAAGTGAGTGAAGTTGTGTGCACAGCAAATAGCATAGTCAGTGTTGTATAACGCATACAATTAGTGTTGGTTAAGACTAGAAATTATAATGTATAAATATTTACATTTAATCTCAACATTCATGTTTTTTTATTTAGAGTACAAAGAATTTCTACTAATTATTAATAAAAAAATTCGTAATCATAATTATGAATTTTCTTCAGATGCGCTTTAGCTCAATGGAAAACTCACACATATAATAATTTGCTTAGATTTTCTTTTTTGAATGTTTCAATTAGAGAAAGCTACACAAATTGTTAATTGTAAATAATTTTTAATAATGCGCAAACTTTGTTTTTATTCTCAAAAATAATTGAAGCTGAGAGCTATAAACTTTAGATAGTTTTTGATAAATCTTTAGTTTAACTATTTTAATTGCGCATACGCAACGTATTACGCGGCTTCACAGACCAACTGTGAGAATATTTTCAGAGCAAAACGTAACCAACAAAGACAGTTAATAATTAGATAATTTGTAAGAATTTTAAAGACTTTCTTGACTAGTTTTATGGCGCATACGCAACGTAGGCCACACCTAAAGGTATTTAATAGACGGCGAAATTATTGTTGCGCTGTGGCTTCAGCTTTCAATAGTTTTCCCAGAGCCTGAGGGCGCATGCTTAGCACTCCATCAAGTGATTTATTTAACACGCGCACAATTTGACGGGGGAAATGGAAACTTTAGACCAAAGAGCTGAAGACTCGCGACTGGGCGACCATTAAGAAGCATCAAGCGGCCAGCGGCTAGCGGCCAGCGACGCTTGGCAGCTGCGTCCAGCTGTTGACCCACTGCACCACTTTTAATACGCGCCACACCACTAGCCATTGATTTATTAAGCTGCACAGCTGTCTGTGCCCATGTAACTGTGTATCTTTGTATCTGTATCTGTGTCTGAAGTTAAAGTTGAAGTTGATGCTCATCCGGCGTTCGCTGTGGAGCAGCTGTGTGCCTGAATAATTATGGTGGTGCTGTCAGTTGCCAGCTGTATGGCCATATATAGTATAGATCAAGTAAAAGGGCCCCAGAAAATGCCCCGTGGGACAGTTGCTGATTTAAATTCGTGTTAGAGAGACAAAATAATTACGGCAATTGGGCAAAAAAAAAAATAAAAATAAAAAAAGAGTAAAAAAATAGTTAGAAATAAAGCAAAACGAAATGAAACTGACAAGCACGACGAACGTATATATATAAGTGAGGGAATGATTGAATGAGCAAATGTTTGAATGATTGAGCGAGTCTTGAGTCTTGGGAACGTTTGAAAGCCATTAAAATTCTTTTGCTCTAACTGCAAAACGATGCGCCGCCAGGCAAACCTCTCGATCGTCGATCAGCCCAAAGTAGTTGACCCACAAAATGTGATTCTCTTTAGCTGCTGCTGCATTTTCATATTATTATTGTGATTATTTTTGTTTCATTATTTTTGTATATTTGGCAACAATTCTGTGGCGCCAAAGTCAAAAAGACAATCAACAGCTGCCCACGTTGATGGCGGCGATTGCGGTCGCACCACACACTGAACCACAGTCGCACAGTCGCGCAGACGTCAAAGTCAGTCAAGTGGCTCAGAGGCTTGGCCATAATGTTGCCTATCTATACATGTATATATATATATATATACATATATATATTTATATATATGCAGTGTGTATGCTTACCATTCGTTTTGGTTTATGCAAACATTGAAAATATTAAGTATACGTCGCGTGTTTTGATTGAGCATTAGTTGACACCAGGGCTGCCGTAATATGTTGATAGCTGCGTTTACATGATGGCTATTCAAATCATTTCTATATACATCATTTGATAAGTGTAAATAACTTGAATTTTTTATAGCATTGTTAACACTTTGCTGCATATTTGACAACACTTAAAAAGCTGAAATTACTATTAGCATAACAATCGAGAAAGGCAGCGAGGCAGAGATTGGTTTGAGCTGCATTTCTTATATTATTAAAGAGCTTTATGGAGGCTATTTGACTTATGAATGAATGGTTAGGTAATAATATGACTATAATCATCATTTACTCGTATTACATTGTTTATTGAGCGTCACATTATTTGTAAATAAATTACATTGATCAAAGATTGAAATCGATTGATGCGCTGTCGCAGTAGCCCAATCATCGACAATCAACATTTGCATGAGCAATAGAGCTTCGGGGTTCGAGTCGCAGGCATATGATACGAAATGGTTTCAGTTTCAGTGATATTTCAAAAGTTTCAATAAGTTTCAATAATAAACCAAAAACAAATAATCAGTAATAATGATAAATATAATAATGATTTATGAATAAAATAGAATTCATATTGGATAATGTATGAGTAATGATCAATGATTAATGAACATTGAGAGAGCAATTATTAATTATTATAAATATAAATATATATATATATATAATATATAAATATTAATTAATATAAAAAATCAGTAATAATAACTATACCATATAATAAGTAATGAATAATGAGCAATAACTAATGAATAATGATTAATTTGTAATAATAAATGATAAAGCAGATAATGATAAATATTTAAATAATAAATAATATATTAGTGATAAGTAATATATAATTATTAATGACTAATGAGTGACAAGTGCTGAGTAATGAGCAATGAGCAATGAATAATAATTTATAAATAATTATTTATAAATATCAAAAGGGAATAATAAAAAGTTTATAATAATAATAAATATTGAGAGTAATCAGACATAAAAAATTAAATATTCAAAAATAATTTTTTAATAAAAATATATAAAATTAAACAATTGAAAATTAATTATAAATAATGGTTAATAAATAAATAATGAGTAATAATTAAAGAGCAATGAATAGTGAATATAGAACAATATATAATAAATAAATAATAAACAATCAGTGACCACAATGAGTGATGAATAATGAATAATGATTAAAACTAGTAAAGACTGCAGCATAATAATATTAATAATAAAATAAATAAAATTTTAAAAAAATTATTATTAGCAATAATAATAATGAAAGTCATGCAAAACTGAGCGCAGCTAACTTTTGATTATTCTATTCACAATAACTTCCAGTTCGCAGAGTTGTGAATTAATCTATCTCAATTGAATTCAGCTGTTCAAACAGAGCATAAACAGACACTTCCATAACATAGTTTATGGCCTTATCTGCGAGCCACATAATCACAGCTATAATGAGTATTTATAGTCGTAGTGCAGCCCTCGTCAGAGTCCAGCCCTGGATGGGCTTTGCTGAGTTACTTAATCCGGCTTATTATAGACGCTCTGTTTGGTTTGCCTGTTGATTTGTTGAGCTGCCTGCGTCCAGTTTTATTTCGCGCTGCGATTATATACGAGTAATTTTTGTAGCTTTACTTTTTTTGCTGTTGTTTCTCCAGTTTATATTTCTTTTTGTTTGTTTTTTTTTTTTTTTTTCATAATATCTGCAAAACAAAATTCGTTTGGCTGCACTTCAAATGATTCGCTGTTGTTGGCAAATTGTTGTTACCATTGGCAATAGCCGGATTTCTGGGGGCTTATCCAGCCAGCGATCGCTGCACTATGCAACAAAATAATAATTTTCACTTAATTATCTAATGAGCAAACAAAACAGAAGGAAAAAGAAATACCCTAAGCATTAGGCCGAAATGATGTTTGGATATTCGATTTTTTTCTTTCTTTTTTTTTTTTTGAATTTGCAAACTGATTTTTCGAGCTGAGCTCGGCTTTTGACCCGCTGACGACGATGTGGACATAGCTAATGATTAAATTGTTGAGCGTTGCAGTGAAATTTTCTCTATATTTTTTTTTTGTTACTTTTGCATTACGTATACGCAGCGTTATGCAAGTCAATTGCTGGTTAGAGTTAATGAGAGACAGCCACAGCAGCAGCAACATTTAACTAAATTTGTTTGCTTTTCTTTGCAGGATGAAATGCAGCTGCCACCCACGCAGCAGCTGCAGCAGCAAAAGCAGCAATCGCTGCAGCATTTGGATCAATGCGGCCTAACGCAAGCCGGCTTGGAGGAATACAATATACGTGCTTCGTCCTACTATGATCAGACAGCGTTCCATCATCAGAAGCAAGCGTCCTATGCACAGTCCGAGGGCTACCACAGCTACGTCTCCAGCTCCGATAGCACATCGGCGACACCGTTCCTAGACAAGTGAGTGCTCAGAAAGCGATTGCTAAACATGTTCTCCATAAGCGACAATTATGAATTCTATTTGCCAGACAGACAGCAAGACACTCGCACACATAGATCTACATAAAAAAGTGATTAAATGTGATTCTTGGTAAAGCAAATAACAAACGTCGCATATGAGCCATAAAAAAAAACTGAAAAGACCAGAAGAAGCAGAAGAAGAAGAAAACACAAGCCCAACTAGCTTAACTTTCAAGGTCTTGGCAGACAGACTCGAGTTGCTCTATTGTACTTGCTTTGAAGAGAGTTTTTTTTATTATATTTCTTATTATTTTATTTTACTTTTGACTTGTCTAACGCCATCGAAATGCGATTTTGAAGGCTAAGCTGAAATTCAAGTAATTACGGTCATGCCCAGCTATATAGAGGCCTCCATGTGCCGACTATTGTGGAAGGAAACGCCAAAAAAAAAACATGACAGACACAATTTTTTGGTCTTCTAGCAGATACTTATTGAAAATGTCCAAATTGGGTATATTGGCTAGGTGGAAATGTGTATGGGAGGAATTAATGAAGCAGATATATATACATGATTGTGAGCAGAAGATAAGTCGATCTAGAACTGTCTTGCTTATCTTTATAACGGTCTATCTGTCGTCTGTCTGCCTGTCTGTCTACCTGTCTGACTCTCTGTCAGTGCTTCTGTCTGTCGGCCTCTCTGTGCTGATCTCGCAACCTTACCTAACGTAGCACCTCCTTTATGACAAGTTTAATTGTCATGTAATCGATCACCTTTGCATATTCCTGAAATCGATTAAAATCGATATCAAACTTCAGTTGTTACAGCGTATCTCGCACGTTTTAAGAAGCATAGACGTTAAATGTTTTACATTGACTATCTTTAAGTGAGTAAGTGATCGGTAATATTTGAATCGATAAATATCAATATCCGATTTTTTTAATTAAAACACATCTCACAATATTTTAGAGCTAAGGACACCAAGTGTGACACATATACCTGATTCAAGTAAAAAATAAATAATAACTTTTGCATTCACTTAAGATCGATAAAAAATCGATATCAAACTTCAAGTATTAAAGCATATCTTGCACATTGTTAGAGCTTGATATACTAAATGTGACACATACGCGCCCTTCAAGAAAACATATAATGGATCATTTATGTATTTGCTTAAGATCGATAAAAATCGATATCAAACTTCAAGAATTGAAGCATATCTTGCACATTGTTAGAGATTGAGACACTCAATGTGACACATACGCGCCCTTCAAGAAAACATATAGTAAATCATTTATATATTTGCTTAAGATCGATAAAAATCGATAACAAACTTCACTTGTAAAAGCATATTTTGCACGTTTTCTAAGCTAAACACATCTAATGTGGCATATGGATTCTTCCTTAGTAAACCTAGACATAAAGTACTTCACTTCTTGAATACCTCGCCCATTTATCGGCGAAATCGAATAATAAATATGCTTAAAGGCGCCACTCATACACGTTACAGAGCATCTTCCAGCCATTCAATTGTATTTTCTATGTATTTTATATAGTCAACGGCACAGCACGCAATGATTTGCCATATTTGTTATATAGCAGCTTTATATATTTTATTTTCACGTATATTTCTCTTTTGCAGATTACGTCAGGAGAGCGAACTGCTCTCGCGTCAGTCGCATCATTGGTCTGAGAACGATCTCAGCTCTGTTTGCAGCAATTCGGTGGCTCCGTCGCCCATACCGCTGCTCAATCGACAATGCATCAACAGCAATAGCAATGGCAACAGCAATGGCAACAGCAATAGCTCCCAGCATCACAGTCCCAACAGCAACAACAACAACAACAACAACAACAACAGCTCAGAGAGCACCTCCTCAACGGAAACGTTGAAATGGCTTGGCTCGATGAGCGACATTTCAGAGGCGAGCCATGTGACGGGCTACAGTGCCATTGCCGAATCGGGTAAGTGCAACAGCTAAGGCTTATAGAAATGGTCGAAGATCTAGTTGAGTAGGGATAGTGGAAGGTGCGCTTAAGGGCTGAGTATTGAGGTCAAGCTTATGGATTGAGGTAGAAGCTGTAAGGGATTAATTATTATAAAGATATTAAACGATCTAAGAGTAAGTGAATAAAGAGTTATTTTTAACAGTAGTATAGATATCCAAAATGTAGCAACTGAAGCTGGCAAATTCCTGGGGTAATACCTTAAGCTTAAGCACTTACAATTCTCAATATGTTTTTACAGCTTCTGCAAACTGTTCGTAAAGTGTGCATTAGCGACATTCCTTAGCTTGCAAAAAGCAATTTCATAGCTGCTGCTGCGTAGTTGTTAAATTCTTATATTCAATCAAAATCGAATTTCATTCCGGTAGACTTTTAATTAGGCTTCATTGAAAGAGGAAATACGCTTTAATTGAGTTGGAATTTGAAATGAGTTTGTATCGCTTGTTGGCTATGAAATTCAATTAAAATACAAATTCTTCTACAATTCAAAACAGTTGTTGGGCATTTAAAAGTATGTAATGAGGGTATTCCTGCTAATTGGCTTTCAACTCGTTCAGTTACTTTACTGTAACAAAAACTCATATTGAATACAACTTTACCTTGATGCAGGAATACCGCTAATATACTACTAAATACTACTAGCTACTAATTAGCTGAACTCAATTTGACATCTGGAATGCCCCAAATACTAATATTTACTATACCTAAACTGAAATTGAGTTGTCTATATTGTCAGCATACCCTTAATATTGCCATGAATTTTAATTAGTATATGCTGGAATACCCATAATATTAATATGTTTCTTATCCGTTCGTTACCTCAAATGGAGCGCAGTTCTAAATAGTAATACCCCTAATTTAAATATGCATTTTAATTGCTACTCCAGTCATATTCAGCACTGTTTGTTGACGAGAATACTCCTAATATTAATATTTTTATTGAGCCTTGCTTAACTTAGATTGAGCTCAGCTCTCTTAGGTAATACCCCTAATATAACTATGCATTTTAATTGCAACTCAAGCTAAGATATGCTCTGGAATACCCCTATTATTAATCTGCATATCAGCCACGCGCCGCACGTCACGTTCGTGACTTTATCTAAATTGTTTCGATTAGCAGCTCGCTTAAACATTTCGAGAAACCAGTTGCCGCCCATTTTGGCAGGCGACTGTTGGCCACTCACATTAGTGGGGGGCAGCTGCGACCTTGGGTCACATTGTGGCTTGGCCCCCACGACCCACTTTTACTAGCCAAAGCAGCCACAGCGACAGCTCCTGGCTGCGCCTTTAGCTCATTAGAATGTTGCTGTTGCTTGTTTTGTTTTGTTATTTTTTTTTTATATATAAATTTTGGTGTTCTCCATTTCAGTTTCCTCCTCGCAGCTGATTGTGCACAGCTCCCGCGTGCTGACGCCCAAGCGGCATCAAAGCGAGAGCGTGCTCTATCTGCACGACAACAACGAGCCGAACGAACGAGCAGCAACAGCAGCAGCTCCCACTGCTGCTCCAGCTGCTGCTCCGTCTCCCGCTCCAATTGCAGCTGCAGCACTGCCCGGCAGCCAGTCGATCTCAGAGGATGTTATGCCGCCGCTGCCACGCATACAGCATCGTCACAGTCCCAGCTATCCGCCGGTGCACACATCGATGGCGCTGCATCGCTTCCAGCAGCAGCAGCCAAACAACTACAAATTGAGCGCACAAAGTTCCTTGCCCGAGCTGGAGACGACAACGGCTCAGGAGTCTCGCTCTCACCTGGCCCAATCGCAGTCGACCGGCGACCTGCAGCTGCACAAGTCAAGCATTTCGGTAACCATATCGAGCAGCGAGGCTGTGGTAACAATTGCACCACAGCCGCCGCCCAGCAAGCCGCAGCTCAGCAAATTGGAGCTGCACAGCTGCAGTGCACCCAATGTGGCCAGCGGCAGCTGCCTGGAGCAGTCGCCACCAGCTATCAATGATTCGTACCGCAGCAATCATCGTCTGTTCCCCGTCAGCACCTACACGGAGCCGCTGCACAGCAATACCTCGCAGTACGTGCAGCATCCTAAGCCGCAGTTCAGCGCCAATCTGAACAAGTCCATCAAGTGAGTGGGAGGCCAACAAATCATAGAATCCTTAAGTCTCTACCAAACTTCTCTCCTTTAGACACCCTGTGATAACGCCTGCTGGCTCGGCCGTGCAGCCCGCTTGGCATTCGGTAGCGGAACGCATCAACGACTTTGAGCGCAGCCAGCTGCTGGAGACGCCCAAGTTTGCCTACTTGGAGCCGAGCAAAACCCATCGACTGTCCAATCCAGCCCTGAAGGCCCTGCAAAAGAACGCCGTGCAGTCCTATGTGGAGCGCCAGCAGAAGGAGGAGCAACAGCTGCTGCGCTCCCAGTCCCATTCGCATTCGTATCAAGCGCTGCAGCAGCTCGAACGCAAATCGTTGCCCAACAAGCTGAGTCCCTTGATGGTGGGCTTGCCCAGCTCGAACTCTAACTCCAATTCTGGTTCCATTTCCAACTCGGGCTGCACCTCGCCGACGCCACCGCCGCCGCCGCCACGCTCACGCTCGCTGCTGCCCAACTTGTTGCGTCGCTCCAGCTCCGCCTCGGACTATGCCGACTTTCGCGAGCAGCCGCAGCAGCTGAAGCCGCCCAGCATACGGAACATAAGCAGCGCTGAGAAATTGTCGTTCAACGACTGTGGCATGCCGCCGCCGCCGCCACCGCCACGCGCACGCGTGGCCATGCCCACGCGACGCACTTCCTCGGCCACGGAATATGCGCCAATGAGAGAGAAACTGCTGCTGCAGCAGGCAGCTGCTTTGGCCCATCAGCAGCATCATCCGCAGCAGCATCCGCATCATCATCGTCAGGTGCAACATGTCTATGAGCGTCCGCCTGAACGTCCGCCCAAGCAGCCGCATCTGCGTGTGCCCTCGCCTGAGCTGCCGCCGCCACCGCTGGGCGCCGAGCTGGATACGAGCTACACGTTCGATGAGCCGCTGCCGCCGCCGCCGCCGCCGGAAGTGCTGCAGCAACGGCCGCCGCCATCGCCGAATCGTCGCAACAGCTTTGCGGGCGCAGCCACCACGAAGCCCACGCTGGCGCCGAAGGTGCCGCCACAGGTGCCCAAAAAGCCAACAAGCTTGCGGCAGGTGAGTCTACGCAGTGAAACAAGCCCAAAACAAATGCACTCACTCACATGTGCTAACTTCTCTCAGCTGCCGCAGCAGACGCTGTCCAATGGCTCAGTCAAGCCCACAAATCTGCCCACAACAAACAGCCGCAAGCGGCCGCACAACAATCCGCCGCCCATCCTGGAGAGCGTTGCGGCACAGCCGGCGCTGGCGCCGCCTCCGCTCTTGCCGCGCGCTCGGCCCACGTGCCACGCCACTGACAGCGTTTTGGCCAGCAATCTGGAGAGCAATCAGCACAAACGGTGAGTGCTGCACAATGTTGCACATCAATCATACGACCCGTTTACCTACCCTGTTTTCCCGTTTCTTTCTGATACTTGCTTAGGCCTTTTCCTTATTATTATTTATGAGATCGTTTGTTGGCTCGTTAAGTGTTGGCGGGTTTTTCGCTTAAAACTTGGCTGAGTTCTTGACAGCTTAGGCTGGGGCAACGGCTAAACCTAAGCGAGGATTTTTTATTTATTTAGCAAGAAATTGTATGAAAATATTGCAAGAGCTTTTCATAGTTTCTTATTCTGCACTTAGCTTAAAGCTCATTAAAGCTACAACATGAGCTTTAGGCTACGCTGCATTCCACTTTCAGCTTATGTTGCAGTGCTTAACTTAGTCAATTTTAAGCTTTAAGCTTATGAAAGAGCTTTTTAGTTAGTCAAGAGCTTAGCCCCGTGTGCAAAAATTTTAACCTAGAACGAAAGCAACTTGGCAACATTTAAGCTCAACAAACTTTTGCTAAAAGCTTAAAAAGCCAAAAGCTCATGACAACGTTGTGTCCATAACATAAAAGCTTTATATTTTATTAATATTTTAACATATTTTGAATGACTACGATGCTTCAAAATTATTCCAAAAGCTTTTTAGGTTATTATTTAAATTGAAAAGCTTTGAAAGCTGCTAAATTGTTTTTTATTAAAAGTAATGTCAATATTATTGGATTAATCATAAAATATATTTGATTAATTATAAAAAAGCTAAGAAGCTTTTAGATTAATTTATAGCTTAATATTATAGCTTAAAGCTTTTAACACTGCAGCTGCTTTGCAGCATATAAAAGCTGCATCTTAAGCTAAAAGCTCTTGCTCTGCTCACTGCAGCTCTTTTTGGTGCCACTTCAATTAAATTTGATTTGCATTGTGCGTGGAATTTGAAGTCATTTGCTAGCAACTGAATCAATAACAAGCAAATAACTTAAGCTCACATTCCAGCCTTGAGATTTTACTAGACACACACACAAATACATGCATGCAGACATACACATACATAGACAGATTTGGCAATTGTGGATTTAGAGTCGAAAATCGCATTTTGTGTTTAGCCATGACGCGCCTCGCTCATTGTTCTTGACCTTATCGAATCCAATTAACTGTTGTTGTTGTTGGTATTTGAATGTGGTGCGTGTAGCACAGTAGCCACCGAGCCACTGAACCACCGAGCCACTGAGCCATAAGCTTCATTGACTGCTTTCGTTTGGCTTTTTGGCTAATAAGCCGCTTCCTTTGGCCCGTCAATCAGCTGTCGTCTAATGCTCACTGAGCAGCTGTGTTGTGCTGTGCCTAGCGTCTAATTGGATTATGAAACACACACACACACACACACACACATATATATATACATATATGTAGACTGCACTGCAGAGCATAAATCAAGCAAATCAAGCGAATCAAGCCAATCGACTGCGCACTTTCGCTTTTTAGTGTCCATTGTGGGTGACCCAATATTCCAGAAAACCAAAACGCCATAAAAAAACGTTAAAAAATAAAAATAGGAGTGCTCTTATGGGGTATGCTTGACGGGGATATACCCTGAGCTGACATGTCTGGCTGCAACTGTGAAGACTCCAGCGCCTGGGCTAGCTAGGCATATATGTTTTAGCTTAGATTTTAGGTGTGTATGTATATATATTTATATATATATAAATTATATGATTTCCAGTCCTGTGGTGACTGAAAGTTAGGTTGAGAGGCGACTGTGCCTCTTATTGCTGGCCTCGGGCTCAGACAATGAAATAAGCCATTTAACGAGCAAATGACGGAGTGAATATTTATTTAAGCGGTTTACTGGAAGAACGCTTTTTAACCCTGCTTTTAATTGTTCTTTTTTTGAATAATCGAAACAGTTAATTTTATTGGTTTTTCTTATTATATTCACTATTTTTAGTTTTACTTATATGACAACAATTTTTAGCATGTCCTATCAGTACGAGTTAAAACACGAGACTGATCTATATTTTTACAAATCATAGCCTCACCGGCGTAAGTAGAGTTGCCCTTGCCAGGGCTGTTCCTTAACTTGTCTAGCACCCGATAATAAGTGTTGAATAATACCTTACATTAAGTGTTATAAGCTAACTAAGTGTTATAAGTTAACTACCCCCCCCTCAAGTGTAAGGTCGTCCTCGACCGACCCAATTCCAGCGACGACTCCTCGCAAGTGCTTCGCGGACTTCTTTGCGTCGATGATCCACCAAAGAGTGAAGCCAATGCAGATTAAAGCACAGCATATGGCTCCTCTTTCGGAGTGCCGTACAACGACACATCATCAAAGTGCACCATTTCGGTTCCTTGGTCGCATATTAGCAGCGGTGACCAGCGAGTCGGTGCAGGTGTTCTCGTTCACATTCAATACGGAGCAGTATGAGCAGCGTACTGATTCTTCGCTATCGCCGTTCAGCAGGCGCTTACTAAGCTTGCTCTTGCGCCTACGTATGTGGCGTCTGTTGAAGCTGTTGGTGCACGACGTGGACGTGGGCCTTGGCATCGGATGATGCATACCAAAGTTGTGCAGCTGCAGCGACTTGAGTGTGGCTGGCGCCGTCGATGACTGGCCGTGCACGTGCCCGTGATGGCCGTGATGACTGTGTCCCACCACTCCAGCGATGCTATGAGCCGTTACTGGACGAGTGATGTGTGTAGTCTGTCGGCGCGCTCAGCTGGCGATTGAATTCGGCCTTGCGGCGCGTCAAGTCCGTCAGGCAGTATTTGTTCAGATGGCCGTTGCTGGAGACAGGGCTCTTGGGCGATGATGCCAGATGCTGCGTATAGGCCGAAGGAGTTGCTGCTCACGCTTAGCTTATTGCCGGCGTTGTGCAGCAGATTGTTACAGTTCTTGCCGCTGATCTTGGCCGACTTTTGCCCGTCGTCGGTATCGTGTTGCTGCTGCTGCTAGCCGCCCTGTACTCCTTGTCGTCGCTCTCGCTGCGCACCGATGCTCGATACGCAGGAAATGTCTTCGTCTTGCTCTTCAGAGAGCCGTTCAGCAGTAGCTGCTGTTGCCGTGCGGCAACTGCCGACAATGCCGGCAGCTGCAGTTGACGTGACGCCGCTGCCGATGAGGATGAGGATGAGCCGGCAGCCGTGGCAGGTGTCGACAGAGATGGGCAGCGGTTGGAGCAACCTGTGGCTGTGAAACTTCTTGAATTAATGCAGTTGGCGGTGTTTTGGGGATTTCTTGACTTGGTTCTAGTATGGATGAAGAGTCGCTTGGCTCTGCCGCCGCGAAGAGTTCGTTAGTTGTTGCTGGCTGATGAGCTTCTACTGTTGGTGGTGGTGCCGTGAACAAGGGGGTTTCCTCAACGATTCCGCTTGTAGATTTGCATGCTGTGGTTCTGGCTTAGCATCCAACTATGGGGCGAATAGAGCTGTTGCTGGTTCTTGTGGACGACAGGATAAATCGTAATTTTTCTGCAGGCTTTTTTAATTTTTGGGAATTTGGTTATAAAATGTATAGTGTTGATGGATTCCTCTAGCCAAATTGATTTTAAATCTGAGGAGTCCAAAATGTTTGGGCTAACAATGAGCCTTCGCGAGAGTAATAGCAAGCATTAAACTTTGCAACTCCATCGTCCGCATTCTGTTTCTGGACAGTGTTTCAGTGTTTCAAATAAATAAATCAATAAAATCAATTTGTGAGTTTTGGCTATCCCGAGAACTCCACTGACAGCAAATGTTAACTGGTTAAGTTGGTCTTGAACCTCAGTGTTTACTTCTATCCGTCTACTGTTGGCATTCATTAGTCGCATTTCAGTGGACCTAGTCTGCTCTAAATCACCAGCATCGGGTGTACCCGCCACCAAAATGTTTTATAAAAACTATGCCAAGTGGCTAAAGGTAAATAGAAAACTATATCTAACTTATTCGAAATTGCCTAGCGGCTTAAAAAAAAGGTGTAATAAAAAAAAACAAGGGAGTCATCTTAGGTTGTCCTTGTGGACCACCCTTCCTTTAATGAGGACCTCGGTCCCCAGGTCTGCTTCCACGGCCTTCTCGACACATAAAGGTGTGAGTTTGTTTCCGAGCCGTCGGTTGGACTTGACCAAAACCTTGTCACCAACATCGAAGACTCTATTCTGCCGCTTTGCGTTCTCCCTAGCTCTGAGCGTCGTCTGAGCGTTTCTGATCTTTTCTTCTATCTTCTCTTGTGGCTCATCAGAGTGCGCCTGAACCACATCAACTGGTCTCTGGTCGATGACCGAATGGATCGACTTATTGTATTCGGTTGTGGCCAGTAAAATGACTTCTACGGTGTCATTTATGCCTTTGTCGATCTTTAGGCATCTGGCTAGCTCTAACAGAGTGCTGTGAAAGCGCTCAACCTGTCCATTCGATATGCTATGCAATGGTGGTGCATTTGAAATGCTGACCCCATAGTTGTTTGTGAGCATAGTCATGATGGTCTCTGAATTCAATGACGGTTCATTGTCACAGTAAATGGATCTGGCTTTTGGAAAAAAATTCATAAGTTGCATTACGGCTGGCTTCAGATCCACAATGGTTCTTGAAGCGACCGGTTGGACGATAGCAAACTTAGAGAACTTGTCGATGCAAGTGAGAAAGTATTTCTTGTCAGTGGAGAAAATGTCTATGTGTAACATCTCTCCTACATGTGAGGGGATCGGTGTCTCTCCAAGCTCTTGTTTTTTGGGGTGTCTATCATACTTAGCCCTAGCACATGTTTTGCAGTTTTGTACTATTTCCTTGGCAATTTTTGCCATCCGTGGAAAGTAGTACTCCGAGAGTACCTGCTTAACATTTTCCTGTGCAGACCTATGGGCCCTATTATGCTCGACTGTGAGGATTTCCCTTCCTTCTCCAACCGCAAATATGTCCACTACGCGATTTTTGCAATGCCAGAACTTTGTGGCTGGGTATCTTCGCACCAATGCATCTTGTATCATTGCAAGCGTGTGTAAATTACAGTGGAGAGCATTTACGCATTTGGGTGAGACTACATCTTCGAGCTCGTCTAG